GTTGAGGTTGAGATGTTGATGGAATATCCAAGTGTATGCCAGGAAGAAGCTGGATAATTGTGACTGGTGCTCAGGAGTGAGGTCTACCTGAAAATATAGATTTTGGCATCATTGGCCCTTACAAGTAGTAGCTGATGGATGAGTAATGGACCACACTGAGCTATATGCCGGGCATTATGGCAAGCGTCTTATGCATATTAACTCACTTAACCCTCAGATCAACCCTATGAGGCAAGTATTATTACTATCCCCCTTTTTTTTTTTTTTTTGACATATGAAGAAACATGTATAATGTTCCAGGTCTCACAGCTGGTAACCAGAGGAGTCAGAAATTATCCCAGGAAATCTACAGTCTGCACACATAACCACCATGTTGTATGCTACACCAAAAATCAAGAGGATCAAGGAATACCACAGGAAAAGGAGAATGAGAAGGAGCTGTCAGAGAGCTAGGAGAAAACCAGAAGTATGGTATCACAAAACCTAAAGAAGAAAGAAGAGGCTATTGTTACTAGCTGCTGTTGAGTCAGCCCCCAACTCATGCTGACTCCATTCACAAGGGAACAAAACACTGCCCAGTCCTGCATCATCCTCATGATAGGTTACGGATCAGACCATTGTGGTCCATAGGGTTTTCACTGGCTGATTTTCCGAAGTAGATCACCAGGCCCTTCTTCTTAGTCTGTCTTAATCTGAAAGTTCTGCTGAAATTTGTTCAGCATCATAGCAACACACAAGCCTCCACTAACAGATGAGCGGTGTCTATGCACGAGGTGCATTGGCCGGGAATCGAACCCAAGTGTCCCGCATGGAAAGCAAGAGAATTCTACCATTGCACCACCACTGGTCCCAAGAGGTGGTTAGAGTTATCAGATTTGCAGGAGGTCAAGTAATTGATTATAACCAAAAAGTTTCCACTGGATTAGCATCAGATCAGTGATGACTGAGTAAAAGCAGCTTCCTGAGGTTGGAAAGACAGAAGGTATGTCGTGGGTATTGTGTAGACTAGGAGGTGAGGAAATACAGTGTACACAAGTCTTCCAAGAGAATTGTGAAGAGGAGAAAGCTAGAATATTAAGAAAAATAGTTTGTGTTTTAAAGGGGAAGAATTTGGAGCCTATAATAAGTCAAAGGGAAAGTCACTAGAAAAATAGAGGTTTATAGACACAGTACTCCAAACCTGTGAATGTGACTAGAAAGAACATTGACTGGAGACACTTTCAATTCATGACTTTTAGCCTCAAATGAGCCCTTAATGCGGTCTGGCCCTTAATACTGTATTGCCACAGTCCATTCACTGTCCCATTCTCCAGCCCAGTAGTTCTCACGAGGTGGTCCCTAGACCAGCAGCTTCAGCATCACCTGGAAACTTATTAGAAATCCAAAGTCTCAGGGCCTACCTCAGGCCTCCTGAATCAGAACCTCCAAGTGGGGCTTTAACTGGCTCTCCAGGTGGTTCTGATGCAATGCAAAAAAATAGATGACTATTTTACAACTCCTCCTCTCTAAATATCCAACCCTTCCTCCTCCATCCTCACTCTCAGTTGACCTTGCTTCCTAATTCACTTAGCGAAAGGAAGCAATCAGGAGAGGATCTCCACTAGCTTCCACGACATCCACCCACCTCCATACATCTGTGTCCAAATATCATCCCTTCTCTCTTCTTTCTTTGGATGGAGTATTTGTGCTTCTAACCAAAGCCAGTTCCTCTGCTTCTGCACTAGTCCCATCCCCTCTCACCTAAACAAGGACATTGCTCCAGCTATTCTCCTCACTCTGTCATCCATCATCAATTTTCACTCTCTACTTGATCTTTCCCATCTGTATACAAGCATGTAGTTATTTTTCCCATTAAAAAAAAAAAAAAAAACCTCTTGATCTCGCTTCTCTTTTTAGCTACCACCTAATTTATCTCCTTCTTTTACAACAAAACTCCTCCAAAGAGTTTTCTATATTGTTTCCATGCCTCTTCTCTCGTTTCTCTTGTTCTTTCTTGAACCTACCCAATTAGGCTTTCAACCCTAGCATTCCACCAAAACCATTGTTATCAAGGTCACCAACAACCTACTAAATCAATTCTCAGACTCATCTTACTTAACCTTCATGCAACATTTGACACAATTGATCTTTCCCTCCTCCTTGGTAGGTTTGCTTCTCTTGGCTTCCAGGATGCACCTTCTCCTGGGTTTTCCCTCTACCTGACCATTCTTCAGTCAGGTTCCTATTCATCTCTAGAACCATCTAATGTTAGAGGTCCCCAGGATTAAGTCCTTGCACCTCCTTTCTTTTCTATCTATATTTGCTCCCTTGATGATCTCTTCTAGTACCATGGCTTTAAATAACATTCGTATGCTGATGACTCTCAACTTTATACTCCAGCTCAGGCGTTACCAAACTCAGACAATCAACTGCTTTCTTGACATCTCCATTTGAACGTCTCTTAGACATCTCAAACTAATCTGCATTAAACTGAGCTCCTGATCTTCCCCCTAAAACCTCTTCCTCCTAGTCTTGCCCTCTCGGTTAACGTGCAGGCCAAAAATTCCTCCCTTTCTTCCACACTCCATATCCAATCTATCAGAAAATCCTACTGGCTCTACATTAAAAATACATCCAGAATCCAACCACTTCTCACCACCTCTCCTGCTACCATGCTAACTGGAGCCACCATCATCTCTCACCAGATGATTGCAACGACCTCCTAAATGGTCTCACCTCTTGTGCTCTGGATCGCTTCAAGTCTGTTCTTGCAGCAGCTGGAGTGATCCTGTTAAAGCAAAAGTCAGATCCATGTTTTCCCCCTGCTCAAAGCCTTCCAAGGCTTCCATCTCACTCAAGAGTTAAAGCCAAAGTCACCAGATGGCCTTAAACCAAAAATCAAACCCATTGCCAGCAAGTCGATTTTGACCTGTAGTGACCCTATCAGAGTAGAACTGCCCCACAGGGTTTCCAAGGAGCAGCTGGTGAATTTGAACTGCCAACCTTTTAGTTAGCAGCCAAGCTCTTAACCACTGCACCACCAGTGTTCCAAAATGGCCCTAGGAGCCTATGAGGGTGGCCCCTCCCTTACCTCTCTGACCTCATCTGCTCTCTCTCCATCTCTTCTTTACCCCAGTTACACTGGTCTTCAAAAGTGGCAGGTACACTCCCACTTCAGAACCTTTGCACTTAACTGTTCCCTTTGCCTAAAACATTATCCACATGGCTCACTACCCGACCTTCTTCAGGTCACTCAAATGCCAGCTTCTCAGTGAGGCCTTCTCTGACCACACCTTACAAACTCTCCATTCATTTCCCTGCTCTATTTTTTCTACAGCACTTACTGCCATCTAACATAATACATATTTTACTTGTTTATTGTCCTTTTGTAAGCTCCTTGAAAGCAGACATTTTACCTGTTTTGTTCACTGATGAATCTCGGTGCCTAGAACAGTGCCTAGCACATTCTAGGAACTCTGTTTTAAAAAAAAAACAAATGTTGCCATTGAGAAGATTCCAACTCACAGCAATCCTATAGATGGAATGAGGGCCCTAAGAAAGAATAAAGGGTTGGGATCCAGAATGGATTGGTCTTAGACAAGAAGAGGGACACCTCTTTCACTCTTACCAGAGCGAAAGTAAGAATGAATACAGATGCAGAAGAACTAGATGGTGGCCGGTATCACTACTGGCCATTCTAATCAGGCCACAAGAGATGAACCCTGATAGAATGGGAGAAGATGTGGAACAGAACCTCAAATTCCTTAAAAAAAAAAAAAAAAAAAAAAAAGACCTACTGGAATGGTTGAGACTGGAGGACTCCCCAAGACTATTGTCCTGAAATACTCTTCAAACCTTGAACCAAAACCCCTGAGGTCACCTTGTAGCTAAATAACAAATTGACTAAAAAAATAATGAATATCACCCGTACTACTTTAAAAAATCACCTATATGAGACCAAATGGTCAGCAATTACTTTAAAACAAAGATAAGAACAGAAGGGTGCAGGGAAACTAGATTAATGGAAAAGGAACACCAGGACAGAAATAATGAGAATGTTCATGCATTGTGAAGAACATAACCAATGTCACTGAACAACTTGTGTAGAAATTGTTGAATGGGAACCAAAACTGCTGTATAAACCTTCCCCGAAAATAAAATAAAATATTATTATTTTTTAAAAAAAGAAAGAAATGAATGCAGATGTTTGCAGGCAGAAATTTAAGGCTTTCTCTCCTGATTGTCTCTATTTTATCTGGGAAATAGAAGACAAAGAAGGACTTGAGGAGAACGGTGATAAATTAGAAACACCCTGTAGTAACAATGCGAGAAAGAGCTAAGGGCATTTGTAAGGATTGATGGTCCAGGTGAAGTCGAAAACCTGGATTGGTCTTCGCACTCATCTACCCGGTTGTGTAGTTTTCTTCACCAGCAGGAGAGGGGGGGGTGTTATACACATGGGATGGGATGGGAGCGGCAAAAATTCAAATTTTTTGGTAGTTTCTTCTTGAGAGACTGGAGAATTCTTTCCACGGATTCAGTGCCTACGTTTACCCACTCAGGAAGTCATCATTGCTCTACTGGAAGTAAAATGATCAAGGAGTGCCTTTAAAAGAAGAGAAAGAGAGGAGCGGCTGAAAAACACGCCCCCCTCTAGCCAGTGGGAAGCGGCGGGAACTTTTAGCCAGCCCAAAAACCTGAAAGTTGATATGACCCGGGGCTCAAATTCTGGGCTTCTCTCGACGGTGATCCCTCCTCGTTCCCAGTAACTTCCAGGTGCCGGGTCTTGTCACTTTCCAGTCCACTTCTTTTCGTGCTCCACCCCCTCCAAACTGGGGTGCTTTCCCTCCACGTGGTTTTTTTGTATATATTGGTTGCCTGGGAGACCCCAGCCTGGCGGGGCTCTACTGACGCCACAATAGGAACAAGCCAATAGCCATGAAGCGTCTCAGTGACGGAAGGCGCGGGGCGTTGCTTTGCCAGCCCGGGCGCAATGAGGCGGCTGCCCGCTGGGTGGCGCCGATTTCCCGGGGAGGTCCTTTCTGGGCCCCGGGTGGAGGTGGGGGAGAGGCGGGCAGGAGCCTAAGCCTGGGAGCCCTCTGCGTCAGCTGCTGCTCACTTTGCCGCGCCAGTACCAGCCGGGACTCACCCGCAGCTCCATGCTTGTTCCCGGCTCGACTCGTCCATCTTCCGACAAGAGGCAGGTACGTGCCACCTTTCGGAGATCAGGGAAGGGGGATGCGGAGGTCAGTGCCGGTTGGAGGCTCTGAAAGTGAGATGTCAACGACAGCGGTGGCAGAAGGGGCACTAGAAATGTAGGGCGAGTGCCCGCGGTGCGGCGGAGCTCCAGCTGTGAGGACCGGTTGTGTGACGGGGGCTGCCAGCTGCCAGCCCTGGGTGCCAGGAAGAGCCATCTGTGTGCTGATCAGGGTGTTCTAAGGAAATGCTGCTTCAGTGGGTCCAGGTCGGTGTGCCCTGTGTGGTATGTGGCCTGGGAGTGACGCCTGGACTCTGACAACACCCTCCCACGTGTGCGTGCTGCTCACTGGCCACCTTCTCGTCAAGCTCCCAGGAGCTGTTTCCGGTCAGTGTGCCAAAGTGGGGGCAAGAGAGTGAGGAGGGGGGACAACTGTTAAACCGAAGAGGAGTTTTTCCCACTAATCCCAAACCAGAAGGAGGCGTCTTTGAATTTCCCACCAGTCCCAAACCAGAATCAGGCACTCGGTGCTCCGAGGCAAGCAATTTATACCTACAGCCCTGGTCCACCCATGCTAGCTCTCCTCAGAGGAGGGAGCATCCCAGCCTCCTAACCTGGCTGCTTTTAGAATGGGGCTGAGTCGGAGACTCTGGAAGGGACTATTCACCTTCGAGGCAAGGCCTGAGGACATCCCCCAAGTTTTAGTTAGACCTGTGAAGCTGAGGACGGAAACTTCGTTTGAGTTCCGGTTGAGGCATCTCCCATTCCTCTGATGCGGTAGCTGCGGGCCAGCCCGGAGTTGGAATGAGGGCTGGCATGAGGGCCGGGACAAGGGCGTCCTCTGGAGTGCATCATCAGGACCTGGGGCTGAGTCAGTAGCCTCTGCTGAGACAGGGTGGAGGCACCTGCCTGAGGTACTCCCAGTCCTCGGGGAGAGCCATCAAGAAACAGGAGGAACACCCAGGGAGCAGACAAGTGCACCAAGTCCGGAGAGGCTAAGAATCCTGCTCCTTTCTCTTGCGACCCTGCCCATCCCAGCTCCGTGGCTTTGGATCTTGAACCCTCCTACAGGTAGAGTGGAACCAGCCCAGAGGGGCGGGCAGGTGTTCTCTTGCCACTCTGTGGGGAGCTGCACTAGCTGTTTTTCTAGGCAAAGAGGGGAGCAGCCCAGATGGGCTTGGTGCTTGTCTCCTTGGTGAGCTGGACGTCCTGGGAATATGGCAAGCCACGTCTGTCCTCCCCAGTTATGGGACACAGATGGGGCGGAGAACCCAGTAAGCAAGGTAAGCACGGGCTTACTTGTGCTTACTTACTAATGTGTGATGTGCAATTTCACATAGGTTTCACCACAGCAGGGTAAGCACAAGCTTACTTATGCTTACTAAATTGTAGTGCACAGTTCAACATGGGTAATGTGAAACTGTGCACTACATATTAGTAAGTGTAAGATAAGCACTGGTTTACTTTGCTTACTGGGTCATCCACCCCTTTCGGGGATTATAAACCTGAAAAGAGGCTTTGATTCTGCAGGAAGGTGCTGTGGGGTTGGGAGACAGATGCCAGCCATAGCTAGAAGCAGAATCTTTGATGTGGTGAAAAATGTGAAATTGTTCACTACAGATGATCTGCTAAGCAAAGTAAGCACCATGCTTACCTCGCCTATTGGATAATCCACCCCTGGCACACAGACCAAAAACCATGGAGCTATTCTCTGGCATTGGAACTCCCCAAAGCATAGCTAGAGGCCCTCTTCTCCCTAGGAAGTTTCACCAGGTACAGTGCTACTACTAATACTACCCCTGATTATAGTAAGTAGTGTATTCAATATAATAATTATTATCATTTATTGAACTCTTACTATATGCCAGGAAATTTATAAATATTAATCCTTACAAATCTGTAAGGCATAGCATTATTATTACTATTATTATTCCTGTTTTACAGATTTAATAACTGAAATTTAGAGAGCATAAGTGACTTCCCTATTGTCACCGAGCCAATAAGGGAAAGAATGGGAATTCAAGCACAGGTCTAGAAGTCCATTGTACTGAAAGATTATTGGACTGAAAACCTGAGAGCAGGTCCCTGTCTTCCTCTCACTAGCTGTGTGCCCTTGGGCAAGTTGCTTTACGTCTCTAGGCCTACTCCATCTCAAAATGTAAGGAGTCAGACTAGCACTAAGGCTTCTTCTTGTTCTCTAATTCTGTGACTGACACCTCCAGAGAATCCTTGTTCTCTATTTTTTTGCCATCCCCACCCCTCTACCTCTTTCCAATTCTCAGTTTCCCCTTGACCCCCCTTCGGTTCCACTTCAAAATGCCCCTTTATAGCTCCTAGTAGGACTTCCTTGCCTGGCACTGGTCTGTCCAGGCAGACCATTGAAGTGGGCATGCAACTGTCCCTTTAATTCTCCCTGGGCTTGGAATGCAAGTGAGTTGCTCTAGCCATCTCTGTGAGGTCAGATAAGATACTATATATATCAGAGTCAGTAACCTGAGCTCCGGATTACCCAGCCCCAAGTCAGACTCCAGCTTCTGGGCTCTCCACTTCATCCCGGCCCTGCTGGGGAAGGAGGAACCCCCAGGTCCCGTCCAGTGCCCCAGGACACAGGTCAGTAGCTGCCCTTTTGACATCTGAGCTTCTTTTGGCATCCAGTGGGCACACATTAGTGAGTTTGGGGGAACATGGGAGAGGCCACCCTGCTGGGCCTGGTGGGTGCTGTGGGCAAGGCTGAAGGCTCGGGAGGCCGAGGACAGAGGAAAGATAAAGCCCTAAAGGGGAGGGAGGGAGACTGGGACCCAGAAAGTGGGTACCCAAAAGTGCCTGGGTGGAGGTGGTTGGAAAAGAGAGTTTAAGGAGACCAGTACTGCCTGGAGGCCCATTTCTTTGCCTTTTCTTGGAAGTGTAGAGATGTCCACCCACTTCTGACCCCAAATTAAGAAGCACCCTATAGATACACAGCCCTGGGCCCACCCACTTCTTCTCTACCAGTCAGGATTCTTGATCTAATCTCCAATCTTCTTGAGCCAGAGAGACAGAGAGGGACCAAAATTCCCTTGGATGACCCCTGCCAAGGCAGGCAAGAGGATTAGGCACTAAGCTGGTGGGTCACTGGGTGCCAGCCCCTGACAGGGAGAGCTACTGGAGACAGGCTGGAGGTTGGCGGGGAGGGGAGGGCAGCTGAGGCTCACAGGGCTAAGAAGAGTAGACAGACTGTTCCAGCCCAAATATCCCCTTCCCCCATCCTCCACTCCACCCACATCCTCCACATCTGCTAGGACATCCCTCATCCACTCCTCCAGGACTTGACACTTGTGCCCAGACTGTGTGGCTGGTGACCTGGGCAAGTGTCTCAGGCAGGCGACCAAGGCAGCTGGGAGTGAGTGTAGGGAAGTGTAGATGGAGTAAAGCAAGGCTCCTCTCAGCCCACCTTGCTCTTTAGGTCGGCATGTCAGCAGTCAGCATTGCCTTATTCTGATGTTGTTAGCAAATGGCTTTGGGAGGCTCTGAGGTCACCACTGTGAAGGTTTCCAGGCACCTGGAGGGACTGGCTGGGACTCTTGACTCAGCTGTCCTGGGCACCTGGTAGGAGGGAACAGACTTAACCCTGTTTAGGCATGTCTCTGAACTTGACATGAGCTTGAAGGTGAGCTAGGGGCTCTCCATCCATGCAGTGGCAAAGCCACAAAAAGCTGGCCTGCCTTCACCCCAGAAAGCCCACAGAGGTGCTGTTTGAGGCAGAATGGAGGGGCCCATGAAGGCTGCTGGGATGTGGGGCACTACCTGCCCTCTGCCCCCAGGGCCAGAAGCACCTAGGATTCCTGAAGAACAAGTCCCTCCTCAGGCTGGTCAGGTTGGGGAGCCCTTCACATGAGCAACAGGAAATGACAGTGGCTGACACAAGAGAGTTGGATGCCCAGGGTAACAATGTTCATTTTAACCCTGACTCACCTGGCATGGGTACCTTAGGGAGTGGGCCAAGCGGCAGGGAGGGTAGGACCTGGGGGGCATGTCCATATCCAGGCCTTGGACCCAGGGCCCTGGGCTGGGGCTAGATGCTGGTACCAGGGGACATGCAGGAGCTTGGCACCACCAATGAAATGGAGGCTTCCTGGACCATCTCCTGGCGATCAGTATTGTTCTGGGGCTCAGGTTACACCTGGCTTCCCTTTCATTCACCTGCAGTGGAAAATCGGAGGGGCTCCTCCTGCAGGAGTCTGTACCCCCTAGTCCACCTAAACACCTGGGGCCCTTAGCAGTCCCCCTTCACCCCAGCAGGTTCCGCAGCCCTGGCCCAGCCTCAGGAGAGGCCAGAGAAGTATAAAGTGGGGGACTGGCAGGCAGGCCTCCTCCCCACGCCGCCTTCAAGGAAAGAGCACAGCTCCCAATCCAGCTGGGCCACTGCTGCCAGCTTGCCATTGGGCAGTCCACAGCACTTCCAGGAACTCTAGTTTCCTCATCTGTAAAAGGGTATAATAATAGAACCTACTGCTTGGGGAAGTTCTGAGGATTAAGTCAGTTACTAGACAATGCTCCAAATGCTTTAATAACTTCAGAAAAACTTCATATGAAAGCTTAATTATTTAAATTTCCTGCCTATTTAGTTTTGTGAATTTTGAAGAATCCGTTTATTTTGAAAACCAGATTTTATTCTAATTTAATTTTAATGTAATATAAATGATTAACCTTCAAATAATGTTGTTTATGGGTTTGAGACATTTATCCTTCTGAAGTAATTAAAGCATAAAAGGCTTTTGGGACACTGTGTATGACGCGCGCTTAGAATAGTGCCAGGGGTCCCTGGGTGGAACAAACAATTAAGTGCTCGACTGCTAACTAAAAGGTTGGTGGTCTGAAACCAGCCAGAGGTGCCTCAGAAGAAAGGCCTGGCAATCTGTTTCCAAAAGGTCATAGCCTTGAAAACCTTATGAAGTGCAGTTCTACTCTGCAACACATGGGGTTGCCCTAAGACGGCAACTGGTTTGGTTTGGTTTTTGTAGAATAGTGCCTGGCACATGGGGAGGGCTCTGTAAGTGCATATTAAGGCTGTTGAGAAGATGAAATGAGAAACTGCTTGTAAAGCACTCAGCACAGTGCCGGGCCCACAGGTGTTCAGTACCTGCTGGCCAGAGTAATGACTGCTTGGCTCAGATGTCCTGGCAGGAAGCTGAGTGTCTCTGCATGTCTCTTGAGAATCTGAGCAAAGCTATGGGGAATCTCTAACAGACAGGGGAAGAGCTGAGGTGCCCTGTGAAGATGGCCCAAGGGAGGAGCTTGGCAGGTGGACTGCCCCCGTAGTCCAAGGTAGTGGGCACCTCGGAGGTACCACCTGGAGCTGCATGCCTGTACTTGCTGGCTCAGAGTAAACAGTGAAAGGAGCCCGGCAGCAGGGGCCCCTCACTGGGCAGGGACGGGGACAGGGATCCCAGCCAATTGGCTTGCCTCCCACTGCCCCATGAAAGGGCCATTCAGTTCAGCTCGTTCCTGTAGCAACAGGGAGACTCACAGCCATGTGAGCGCCCGTCCCGTCCCTGTCTTGCGCAGCGAGGCTCTGAGGCTCCGGCCAGGGCCCCAGCCCGCTTTCCTGCCCATGGTGCATTCTGCAGTCTTCAGGGACGGCCCGTGCCAGGTAATGCTGAGGGGTGCCGACCCAAGCTGTCTTCTCACCTGGAAGGTGCTGAGACTATTCTCAAGAGTGAAACTGGGGGTCGGGAAAGGAGATAGGCATGCTCAAGGCCTCAGCCTCTATAGGGACCCTTTCCCCAGACATGGGAGGTGTGAGTCAGATGTCAGGCCTGTGAGGCCGCTTCCAGAGGGTGTTAATGATGGCATGACTCCCTTCCCTCGGCTGGGGGAAGGGGAGGTCTGTCTGTTCCTGCTGATTGGAGCAGACTGGAGCAGACCGGAGAGTGGGGATTTAGGAGCCCTCCTGGGGTCTAGGGGCCAGAAGTGTGGCTCCACCTCCAGCACCCATCCCTTGTCAGGGCTACTTGCAGGCTGCCCCAGGGCTGTCCACCCCTCTCTGCTAAACCTTGTTTGGCCCCAGCACTTCTGCGTCATCAGCAGGGCCAGGAGAGGTCACCGGCTTGGGGCACTGCCTGCAGAATACCAATTCCCTGTGAGCCTTGTTGTGGGAGAGAGGTAAGAGCAGAGGGAGGAGCCATGAGCACATGCCGTGAGGGGGAGGGGGGGCCGGTATCGGATTGGCTGCCTGGTGTCCCAGAGCCCCCCTCCTAAGACCTGGAGTCTCTTTGACTTTGAATTATTGATGGAGTTCTCCAAAGTGAAATAAAGCACATGGGCCCATACCTCCCCGCCCCTTGTGCCTCTGTCTCCCCTCCTCCCGTAGACTTCACTGTCTCCCTTCTCTGTGCCCCCCAAAAGCTGAATAAATAGGAGGAAAGCTTGTGGCTTCCCTCTAACCTTTCCTCCAGTTACCTTTTCCTGAAAAGGTACAAAAGCTGTGCTGGAGGTGGAAGCACGGTGGTCAGGGGAGCGTTATCTGAAGGGTAGTGGTCCCGGGGCCAGGCAGGAATAGGGAAATGGTAAGCATGGACCATGCGGTCAGAAGACACTGGAGGTTTCTGGCAGGGTCAAGAAGTGCTGTTCTAGGGCTGATATGGAAGTTGTCTCCCACCTCGCACCTATCCCAAGCATTGTGTGGACTGGGTTTCTAAAGCTCTCTGCCAAACATTTGGAGCTTGGCACCAGCTCCTCTCTGCCCTAAGGAGCTGGACTGCCGGCCTAGGGCAGGGTGTGGGCCGCCCAAGTCAGTGTCTGCTGAATGGCTAGATGTCTGCCCACTGCCTGCTGATCATGGGGGCTGCAGGGGAAGGCCTGGCGCCCGGGGCTGAGGTCTGAGGCTGGCCAGCCCTGACATTATTACAGACCTGCCATGGGAGGAGCTGGCGGCCTGGCAGGGGCAAGGGAGTAGATAATAACCATCGTCACTGTAGAGTGCTTTCACATGTTATTATCGAGTGTATTCCTCACAACAGCCCTGTGAGGTAGGAATCATGATGATGATGATTATACTCATTTTACAGGTGAGGAAATTGAGGCTCAGAGAGCTTAAATGAGTAGTGCAGAATCATCCAGCTCGTGGGCCACAGGGCAGAGTCAAAACCAGTACCTGCATACACCGCTCTGGGAGTCCTGGAGATCTTCCCTGATAGCTCAGTGCTTCCAGGAACACCCCCCACCACCACAAGAGCCTCTGATGCCCTTCAAGCAAAGAGGCTGATCCTGCTGGTAATCCTCCCTGTGTTTCTGCTCCCCTCTCCAAAGCACCTTTGCCTTCTAGCTCCTTGGAGACAAAGGCTGCACTTTTAGGGTGATGGAGGGACTCTGGGTCCCCAACTGAGCTTAAATTTGATGGGGATGAGTGAGTCAAGGTAAAGTGGAAAGAGCTCTGGACTGGAAATCTGAGACCTGGATTCCAGGCTCTACAACTGTGTGACCTTGGGCAAATCATCGTCAGTTTTCCCATCTGTACAACAAAGAGGTGAAGATGTGTGATCTCTTAGGGCTCTCTAAGTGCCACATTCATAGATTGTGTTCCTTCACCAGACCCACCCCAGCTGCAAGAATGGGGAGTCAGGGAGAACTGCCTGCAGTGCAAGATGTTGGCCTCTAGGGGGCTCCCTTTGCACAAGTCAAGTACCTCAGCAATTTGGGAATGATGGTTGTGGGGAAACCCATGGGAGGCTGTAGGGTCCTAACCTCCTTTACAGCAGAAGGCTTAGCTCAGTGAAGAGGGTGGTTTCTACCACACAAGCATCCCCCACCACAGAACCAACCATCAGGTGATCCGTGTCCAGAGAAGAACTCTGGGATGGAATCTAGAGGTGGAGTTCAAGCCCCCTCTTTGCAACATGCTGCCTCCCCCACCTCAACCACTTCCCTCATTACTTCCTCTCATGAGCTGCCTTTTCCTCGCGAGGGATCTGACCAAATGATTCTAAGGCCATTCCAGCTCAAACGATCTGTGATTCTAAAAAGATTCCTGCTCTCCCAGGACATAAGTCAGAAGGGAGGACCACAGGAGAGAAGCTGGCCTTAAATCTTGAATTTCTAGCATTTTCAATGCAGGAGGTGAGGGTAGCGGCATCCCCTCAACTCAGGAGAAGCTGGGGAAAGGAACCAGATGGGATTTGGGTTGGAATACCGTGGTGGCTTTGAGGGCTGCAGAGGTAGGACAGTCCTTGCTTGCAAGCTGGGTACTTGAGGGGAATACTTGGAGTGAGCAGGAAGTACTGTGTGGTTTCTAAAAGCCAGGTTCATCTCTCTTGTTCACCTGGGGTGTGAATGCATGGGTGCATGCATACCTGCGTGCATACCTGCACAAATACCTGTGTGCATGTATGTACACACATGCATACTTGAGTTTCTCAGCAGTGTGCCAGCCTCCTGTGGAGATGGATTGTGTGATCCCTTGTTGAGTTCTAAGGTTCTGGACCAGCTGAGGATGGAGAGCAGATACAGAAGGAGTCTGACACCTGGCAGGGCCCTTTGACAACTGCTTTCCTTGTCTTTCAGCCCATGAGGCTCCCAGTCCCCTCTGAGTACCACCCTGAAGGATGTCCCAGCTCTCCTCTACCCTGAAGCGCTACACAGAATCGGCCCGCTACACAGATGTCCCTTATGCCAAATCGGGCTATGGCACCTACACCCCCTCCTCCTATGGGGCCAACCTCACTGCTTCCTTCCTGGAGAAGGAGAAGCTTGGTTTCAAGCCGGGCCCCCCCTCCGGCTTCCTCACCCGACCCCGTACCTATGGCCCCTCCTCCATCCTGGACTATGACCGGGGCCGCCCCCTGCTGAGACCTGACATCAGGGGTAGTCAGCGGACAGAAAGCCAGACCTGGGGCACTGAGTGGACTTCAGGGAGTGAACTCAGCGGGGGCAGTGGATTAACTTATGGAGTGACCAGCAACTCCCTCAGCTACCTGAATGCCCGTGACCAGGGGATAACCCCGACCCAGAAGAAATCGAACAGCCACTTAGACCTGGTCCGGGATTTCTCCAGCCTCCAGACCTCAGATAGCTACCGGATAGACCCAGGGAACTTTGGCCGGAGCCCCATGCTGGCCCACACGCGCAAGGAGCTCTGTGCCCTGCAGGGCCTGTACCAGGCAGCCAGCCGCTCCGAGTACCTGGCCGACTACCTGGAGAACTATGGTCGCAAAGGCAGCGCACCTCAGATGCCCACCCAGCCTCCTCCCTCCCGAGTCCCTGAAGTCCTCAGCCCCACCTACCGACCCAGTGGCCGCTATACTCTGTGGGAGAAGGGCAAGAGCCAGACTCCTGGGTCCAGCCGCTCCAGCTCCCCAGGGCGAGATACCATGGTGAGTTTACCCCTTGGGGACCCAGGTGATGGGCTTGGGAGGGAGCTACTGATGTAGAATAGCCAGGATTGAGGAGAGGGCTCCCAAAGTAACTGATAAGCTGTGGCACAGGTCTGTTTCCCAACCCTCATGGCTGTGCTCCTGCAGCCCTAGAGGAGGCCAGTGAGGAACGTCATCTCAGTAGATCTGGTGATCTTGTTGGGCAGCACCAGGGGAAGGGGATTTCCCATTCTCCTGGGAAACCCTTTCAGGAACTGTGTGCTCAGGCCATCCAGCAATGCTCTCGGGAATGCTGAGCGCCCCTACACACACTGCTATTCTTACCCTTGCCTTTTCCACCCAACATGCCTGGGTCCCCTGTAAGCCCTGCCCTATCCTGGGCTAGATGCTGGGGCCCCCAGACAACCAGGGCTCCCTGTGGCAAGAGGGGCCTCTCTGCACCGGTTCAGGCTTTTGTCCCCAGCCTGGAGACCAGGGTTATCATTTGGACATAAGGCATCAGGGGACAAGGGACTCTCCCCTGACCAACACTGGCAGGTTCAGGACTAGGGTGTTTGGACAGCAGTTCTTATCATGCGTCTTTAGAGAAAATGGTGGAGGAATTTTTATGTAGACAATCCAATACCTCTATATTCTGGCCCTGCCTGGGCTGGAATAAGGGAAGAGTTTCCCCTGGAGCCTGAGCAAGGGCTGGCACAGCCTCACTCACACATTGTCTTCGCTGTAGTTATCAGTGTACCCATTAGGTGCCTAACATAGCATGGAGCTCAGCTGACCTGCTGACTACATGGGATGGAGGGATAGAGGGAGGGAGGGAGGGAGGGATGGTGGGATGGTTGGATGGTTGGATGGTTGGATGGTTGGATGGATGGATGGATGGATGGATGGACAGATGGACAAACAAGCATATGTGCAGGAGGGCTGGGTGTTACGTCGGCCCCATTACTTTATGTACCCTTTCCCTATTCCTAGGGCATTTGCTTTTGGAAACAACAGCCATGCCACAGCAGGAAATGCTGCTTAGGGGACTTGTCCAAACAAATGGAGTAGGGGTTCAGAATCGAGGGGTGGGGCAGCGTCATAGACCTGGAAGCTTGTCATAATTAAAGTCCCGAGAAGACAGCTTTGATAGCATTACTTAAGAAAGTCTTGGCCTTGCTGGGCCACTTGTGAAATGTCATGGGAGATACAAAAGCTGGGGCCTCCCAGAACATTCAGACCCTGACAAGGCAGTTGGCTACATTGGAGGGTTAGTGTAGAAGAGGAGTGGGAGAAGAGATATGTCATGACAGAGCTGGCACGGGAGAGGAAACCGTGTTCTTGGTGGCATGTGTGCTGTGCTTGGGGTAGCAAATGACATGTCTGGTGTTGCTCATCCTGGCGGCAATCGGAAAGTAATCCTCATTGGAAGGGCTTGGGTCCTGGAGGCCCTTTGCTCAGAAGACAAAGGTTCTGGGTGGTAAGCAGTATTACTCAAAGTGGAGTCTACAAATTGCCTGCATCAGAATCACCTGCACAACTTAACAGCGCCCCCCACCCCAACCCTCACCCCCCTTGAATCAGACTCTAGGGATAGAGCCTGGAAATCAGCCCTTTTAACAAGCTCTTTGGGTGATCTTGATACATACCAAGGTTTGAAAACCTCCTCTCTACAGACTAAGCTTCAGACCCATCCTCAGCCTCAATCGTGGGGGGGGGGGCGGTGTGCGTGCGTGTGTGTGTGTGTGTGTGTGTGTGTGTGTGTGTGTGTGTATGGTGGGGGCGTCTCCTCCTTTACTACTGGTCAGACTCCATTAGAATGCTCTCCACCTCCTCTCCACAAGCATATCCCAACCTCTGTAGAGTCTTCCACAGGGGGACACCCTGGCTCCACCTCCACCCCATTCTGGGCCAGGGTGAAGGCAGTTTTGCTGTCTTGAGAGAGCACTGCAGAGGAGTGACAGGTGGCCCTGGGGCAAACTCAGCCTCAGGCAATTAACAACCCTCCCTCCCATCCTGAGGCAACTAACAGCACACTTAAACGGCTAGTAACGCCCCTGCCATTGAACTAGTTTTCAACTGAGCTCAAGTTCAAGGAAATACAGCCGGGAGAGGGCTCTCATGGGTCAATGTTGGGAGATCCTTCTTTAACCTTCCCACCTCTCTCCTTGCCACTCTCACTCTCACTTCCTGGAGCTGGCTGCATCTTGCCAAGGCAAGAACAAGCCTGTTCTGGGACCTGGACCATTATTTTTAAAGCAGGGTCCAGTTTCTTTTCACATCTCCATTTGGGATCTTCCCTTCTTATTCACTCATTTATGGTGCTCAGCTTACTAACAGTGTGACCTCATAAGCTCATTAACCTCTGAACCCGTTTCCTCCTCTGCAATGAGAGCAAGGAGTCCTGGTGGCACAGTGGTTAAAGCACTCACCTGCTAACCAGAAGGTTGCTGGTTCAAACCCACCAGCCATTCTGTGGGAGAGAGATGTGGCAGTCAGCCTTGGAAACCCTATAGGGCAGTTCTATTCTCTCCTATAGTCTCATTATGAGTCAGAATCGACTCGAAGGCAATGGGTTTGGTTTGCTTTTTTTTTATGAGAGAGGTTTAACAGTTCCCCCTTCGCAGATTATCTATCATGAGGAATCAAAAGGCAATGTATGTGAAAATGCCTGGCACACAGTCAGCGCTTGATAAATGTTAGCTCTCCTTGAACCCTTCCAGGTGCCACGGGAGGCAAGAAATGTGTGAGCCAGTGTGTTCACAATCAATTTGGGGAAATAAGGTCTTAAATGGCTGCAAGAAGAGGTCGCCCTGGGTGATGTTAAGTGTCATGGGGTGAGAGAACAGAAAGGTCATCCGAGGCTGGGACGGGCCGCTTGTGACCATTGGAACAGTATGCCTCTTTAACCTCACACATCTATCATCTGAACTGTATTTCCTCATCTATAAAAGGGAGGGATCGTGCCTGCCCTGCCCACTTACTTCACAGGGATGTTGTGAGACTCAAAGCAAATAATAGATGTGGATGAACCCGAAGCCAGTAAAAACTATAGAATAGTTAGTTTCAATTTAAAAGAAAAAAGGAAAGGCTAGACAAGGGGTATTTGGCAGGTCAGATGTGAGAGGTGATGAGAGTGGGGAGGGGCTGCCCTGTGGGAGGAACAGAGGCCAGAAAGTGTGGCGGGGTCTAATGGGGTCTGACTCCTCTGGGGTCCCTCAGGGCAGCCTGGCTCAGAGGGCTCTCAGGGGTAGCTGACTTGAACGGCAGCTGACACTCTTAATAAAGAGAAGTCCAAAGCAGGCTCTGACCAGCAAGTAGAACAGTTCTAACTAGACTCAATTTCCCTCATTAATACTAACAGCCAACATGAACCTGGACTAACACAGACTCAGCTGAGCATGTGTTAAGAACCGGGGGAGGGGGCATGAATTCTAAATACCCTCCCCCATGCTTGCATAAGCACCTAGAAAACACAGGTTGGTCTGTGAGGGGCGCACTCAGCACTAGGATAATGAGGGCCTGCCCTGAGCCTCCACCTCCCGCTTAAAACGCAGACAGATGAGAGAGGAGGGACGTGATGATCCAGAACTGGTGGCAAAAAAGCTGTCACTACCCCCGTGGGGACTCCAAGCCAGCCCAGGTGGCTTGGCCCTACAGAGGGCCAGGAGCACGAGTACCCAACCCCCATCATCTCACTCCCTCCACCCCACCTCTCCTGTTCCCAGTGCCTATGGAAGGACAAGCTGTTCCCACTGAGCCCTGCCAGGGCTGTGCTTTAACCCCTACAATCCTCCTAAGCCTCCTCCGCTCCAGCTGCTCCCTCCCCAGCCCTGGCATCCTGCCTGCTGGCCTCAGCCCTGCCCTGCCGCGCCCTGCCCAGGCCACCTCTCCTTTCCCCAGGAAGAGCCAGGGGTTGGCCCAGGGCCCTCCAGAGCACAGTCACCAGGCTGGGCACCTGCTCCCACCCCTACACAGTCTCTTCCACTCCCTTGCCCCCTGCTCTGCAACCTGTTTCTAGGACCAAAGGGTCTGGGAGCTCAGGGTACCTGGGCCCTATGTGCCACTGGGGCTGCTGACTCATCTCCCCAGGCCTGGAGTTCCAGCTGTTTAGTGAAAGGGAGATTATATAAGCTGAGGTCATGTGACTTTTCTGGGGTGGGACTTTGGACTTGAAAGCTGCCCTGCAGTGAGAGTGGGGAAGTTTGGTACTCCAAAGAACCCGAGCTGAGGACAGCAGAGGTTGCCTAAGAGCTCCTGGGTGAAAAGTGTGACCTTCCTCTATTGTCCTTTACCTTCTCACTCCATTTGCTCAGCCGCATTGAACTGCATCTGTCTTGTTTGTCCAGCCTGGCAGCCTGAGACCCTGGGGCCTGTCCTCATCCAATCTGCCCTCCCCTTACTTAGCCATCCGAGGAGATGGAGCTTCCTGAGGGTTTGAACCTGAGTTGACAGTACGGGAAGGTCACTCAGAGGAGACCTTCAGCCAGAGGGGTCCCGTGGCCCACTAGTACTAGCTGCTGAAAAGGAAAGAGCAGTCGTTGTGGTCTGTGGTTAGAGCCAGCACAACGCTGATGCCTCCATCCCTTAAAGACCGGCCACCTGGCTGGGTGGCCTTGGTGCTGCCTGACCTAGGCTCGGTTTCTCAGTCAGTGCCGAGTTCCATCTTCCCTGGTGCCTCCCCCATCCCCACCCCTCCAGGACGTCTTAATGAATTAATGTCATGCTGAGGCAGGGCTCAGCAAGGCAGAAGTTAATCTAAGCCTGGAACAGTGTTCTCTCCCCGTGGGGGAGCCGCTCCACTGACCATAGGCTTCCGAAATGAACACCATGTTCAGAACTCACAGCCGTGCAAGTGACCCCTTTCTACTCTCTCACCTCAGTGGATGCATAAAACTTGCACCCCTGGGAGAAGGGAAGTGTGTGGGCCTCTGGAATCCAGCTGGTTCAGACCAGACTGCCCTGGGGCTCAAAGGAGTACAGAGCTTTCCACCTCCTGGAGTCCCGGTAACGCATAATGC